TTCATGGGAGACCCCGGGAAAGAACACTGGGAAGCTGTGAAGTGGATCATGAGGTATTTGAAAGGTACTGATTCTAATGCTTTGTGTTTTGATGGGAAGAATGTAGAGCTGCTGGGACATGTTGATGCAGACCTGACATCGAATGACTCGGATGGATCGAGGAGCACCACCGGGTATGTTTTTACATTTGGTGGAACGGCAGTTTCCCGGCTTTCGCAGCTGCAGAAGATTGTTGCATTATCTACCACTGAAGCTGAATATATGGCCATTACGGAGCCAAGTAAGGAGATGGTGTGGCTTCAGAATTTACTTGGGGAACTTGGGAAGGAGTACAAGAATAACATTCTTTAGAGTGACAGTCTAAGTGCTATCTTCTTGGCCAACAACTCAGCTTTTCACAAGAGAACCAAACACATTCGGTTGAAGTATCACTACATCTGTCATCTTCTGGAGATAGAGGCATTGTAGCTTGTGAAGATCTGTGGGAGTGAGAATCTAGCAGACATGTTTACTAAGGTGGTAACCTGGGAGAAATTGAAGCTTTTCATAGCTTCAATTGGCCTGGGTACTTGAAGATGAAGGCCGGCGCTACCATGCTTACAAGGGAGGTTTGAAGAAGACAGTCTCTAGGTGGGAGATTGTAAGGTGTTAGAGACAGTTTCTTAATTTATTTTTGGAAACACGTTTCTTAATTTATTTTAGGAAACACATCCTAGTTGCCTTGGGGTTAGGATTTACTTCTCTATAAATACAAGCTCTCTCCCTTGTAATCATTGTGTGTGGATCCGAAAATAGCAATAATATTTCTGTCTTGGTAGCGCCCCCAGACGTAGTCATTCGTGGCGATCTGGGCTACCAAATTTTGTGTGCTCTTCATTATTGTTTTTCGTGTGCGTGAATTAAATTCCTAACAGTGACCACCTTCAACGGAATTGGATTCAAAATTAGACACAATCACGAAAACCAGTTTTGTATATACAATTTCATTATGAAAAAATGACCCGCATATTATTACTAGACTCTTGGATTCCAATGATATGACTGTTTTGACAATTCCCACAAAATGACCGATCTTAGCCTGTCATCTTCTTCCGCACGCGCAAGGCATCGATCCTCTCTGCTTCTTTCTTCGCACCGCACACACATCATATGGAGACAGCCCCTAAGCGGCCACCCTGCTTCTCTTCTCCGTCAGCTTCCACCGTGCCGCCTCCGTTGTTTGCCTCCGCGTCACCTTGCCTCCGCCGGCTGAGAGGGTCGCGATTGTGGCAATTTCAGACGGAGATTCAGCGGCAATGGCGAGCCAATGATCTTCTCTTCATCACGGATCTGTTCTGCATCGGTGCATCTCGGATCTGACGGCGACGGTCATCGATCATCTCTGCATCTTGGATCTGTTCTGCATCAGTGCATCTCGGATCTGACGGCGACGACCATCGATCATCTCTGCGTCTCGGATCTGTTCTGCATCGGTGCATCTCGGCATATGTTCTCCCACCTTCTTTTTGCATCAGATCTGCTCGTCTCTTTCGATTGGTGCCGCCTTGTCTTCTGGATCTACAGCTATTTCTCACTCCGGATCCTCGTATGGGAATGAACGGGGGCTATGGACTGGGCTGGTGGGCAAAGGGAGGCGGCAGCCACCGCCGTGGAGGTTGTTGGGGCTTCTGGGGATCTGGTAAGGCAGGGAGGTTGTTGTTTGGGCTGCCGCCAGTCACTGGGCGGGACTGGGGTCACGTGGTGGCATGATGGTGGAATGCGGCAGCAGCGTGGTGGTGTGGTAACTGACCGGAAGGCGATGGCCGGTATAATATATTGGATATAATTTTGATCCTCGATATCGAGGTGTTTTGGGTGTGGCGGAGTCACCATGACCGGAGTCACTATGCGGCGGAGTCACTGTGCGGCGGAGTCACTATGCGGCGGAGTCACTATGACCATAGTCACTGTGGCCGGAGTCACTGTGGTGGCGGGGCAGTCACTGTGACAGTGGGGCAGTCACTGTGGCGGCGGGGCAGTCACTGCGGCGGCGGGGCAGTCACTGTGACCGACGGGGCAATCACTATGGCTGTTGGACAATCACTTGGCCAGAGTCACTTTGGATTGCAGGGGCTAATTTGTTGTTGGTCACATTTTTGGATTTTTTAAAAACGTTTCACTTTTTTGTCTTTTATCTTATTTTTAGTAATATCCAGGCCAAAAGGCCATCTTATTTTTAGTAATATCCAGGCCAAAAGGCCTTTCATGTTGAAATATAATTGAATTAGTCATCTTCCAACTATTCCTGATTAGGAATTATTATCACCATTACATAAATAATCAGGAAATCATAATTATGATTCTAGATGATAATTGTGTGGTTCACAATTATCCTCTAATCCTATGAAGCTTAACTTTTCTCCTATAAATAGGAGGCTTCTCCATTGTAATTAACACACTAAGATTACACCATTATCACACTTCTAATAACATCTTTCTCACTAAGTATTCAGACTATACTTTCTCTCCCTGATCTTCTGCTTATTTGCTTTCATATAATAACACGTTATCAGCACGAATTTGCTCCAAATCCGTGAAATCATCATCTTCCCAGCAGGTATATTTTTTCATGAATTTATCAGCTTATCTGAAAAAGAAAAACCAGAGGTTGAGATCAGAAGTACATAGCATAAACCTGTTTATATATATTAAAACTATAAGAAGTATGCTCTATGGTTGCCCAACCATTGGGATCCTCCATACCAGAAAATTATAGCTATATTTTCTGTAAAGAAATTGAAGAAGGCAAAACGCTAGAAAAATCTACTTCGAATCAATATGTTCTTCAAATTTCTGTTATAAACTACGTATATTAAGAAGCTGTTCTCTTCGTCTGATCTGAATGTTTCTGATCTGAATTTTTTAAGTTCTGATCTGATCTGATCTGAATTTTTCTGATCTGATCTGATCTGATCTGATCTGAATCCTTCTGATCTGATCTGATCTGATCTGAATCTTTCTGATCTGATCTGATCTGAATGTTTCAGATCTGGTCTGATCTGATCTGAATGTTTCTGATCTGATCTGAATCCTTCTGATCTGATCTGAATCTTTCTGATCTGATCTGATTCGAATATTTCTATGATTATAATTATAATTATAATTACAATTATTATAATTGCAATTACAAATATAATTTAAAAAAAATTATAATTATAATTGTAATTATAATTACAATATTTATCTCTATAATTGTAACTATAGTTATCAATATTATTATAATTACTCCGTAAAATAATTACAATAGTAATAATAATAATAATAATATTATTATTATTAATTATAATAAAAATAATAATTATAATCATAAATTATAGTTATAATATAATTATAAGTATAATTATAATTATTATAATTATAATTAATAATAATTATAATTATATTAACATTAATTATAATATTATAATATAATAATAGTAATATAAATACAATTAATATTATTATAACGATATTATTATATTAATATTTTTATTGCAATAATATAATAATAATATGATTATTATTATAATTAGTATTATGTTATTATAATATTATATTATAATTATAATTATAATTATGATTGTAATTATAATTATTATAATTAATTACAATTATAAATATAATTAATTATAGATATAATTATAATAATTACAATTGATTATACTTATAATTATAAGAATTATAATTGTAATTATAATTATAATTACATATAATTATAATATAATATTATAATAATATTAATCATATTATTATTATTATAATGTTGTAATAATAATAGTCTTCTTAACAATTGCATTTATATTACTATTATTATATTAAAATATTATAACTATTATTAATATCTTTTTTATCATATTATTTTTATCATATTATTATTAATATTATTAATAATAATTATATAATAATAATCATAAAAGTAATAACAATATTAATAATAATAATTAATATTTAATATAATAATAAAAGTGATAAATCATGTTTGAACTTTTCTGATCTGATCTGAATGTTTCTGATCTGATCTGAATGTTTCTGATCTGATCTGAATGCTTCTGATCTGGTCTGATCTGATCTGAATCTTTCTGATCTGATCTGAATCTTTCTGATCTGATCTGATCTGATCTGAATCTTTCTGATCTGATCTGATCTGAATTTTTCTGATCTGATCTGATCTGATCTAAATTTTTCTGATCTGATCTGATCTGAATAAAATAAGAATAAGCAATAAGTAATAAGAATAAGACGAACAGAACAGCACCTAAAAGGAGACATGCCTTCGTTGAATATTTAAGCTTCTTGAAGAACTATCTTCATGAACATGAAGTACACACATATCTCAACTAATAAGAGAGATAGAGTAAGTACTTATTCTGCTAAATTGCTCCTTGTATTTATGAGCTCCCAAAAATCATATATTTTATGAGCATGAGATAGAGACTATGAGCATGCGAAATAGAAAAAAAAAATTGTAATACTGGTAAAGAAAGAGAAGAGATGATGGATATTAAAAGAAAGAATACGGAAGAGTGGAAGTGGTTAAATGTGAAAAGAGAGAGAGAAACTTACAGATTTGTGAAACCCTGAGAAAAAGAGTTGAACTCTTAAAATTAAACTCTAGCTACACATCATATAGGCATATAGCTACACTGCATATATTGATATACATACGAAAGACATATCACAAATACCAAGAAGAATAGTCTAGATATTTTAAGAGCAAAAATTCCTTTTGTACACGTTTTTGTACCCATCAGTACACGCATGTGTCTGTGAGAGTTTTTTTTTGTCTGTGAAGTGCGGTCCACAGACAAAAGCTGGTTTGTTTTGTCTGTGAAATTTTCCACAGACAAAACAAGCGAACTTATGTCTGTGGACCGCGCTTCACAGACAAAAAAAAACTCTCACAGACACATGCGTGTACTGATGGGTACAAAAACGTGTACACCAAGAATGGTTGTTTTAAGAGGCATCAAAAGACAATACATTTAATGCTATGAGTTGTACACTCTGGAACTGAACCATAATGCGTGCAGTGAGATAGTACTTCATGTGATTTTTTTAATTATGCTCTGCGAATGAGCAGCAATATTTTTCCTTTTATTCACTTGGACATGAACTTATCTAAATAGATAAGGTAAGTCACGCACTATCCAAATACGGAGTAAATTTCATCCGTTGAAAATTGGAAATACCAATAAGTAATAAGCTTAGATTTACAACTTTATTTGTTTTATTCTAAAATATATATGCTCCGTATAAGGTTAATAAAAAAAAATGTCAAGTTTATTTCCAAAACCAAATTGACGGACTAGAAACAATTGATGATTTCTTTGATTATAATTATACGATAGTATATATTACCTTATATATTTTCCTGATTAAATCAATACTTTTTGTAGTATTATGGCACATATTAGCAAAAGAGAGTTTGACGTCCTTGATTTATCTGGCCAAAAGTATTTGGAATGGAAAGTCGACGCTTTGGCACATTTAAAAGCAAATGCTCTTGAAAATACAATTGCTGAAAATAATTCAGCCACTCCCCAAAATAAGGCAAAAGCCATCATCTTTCTTCGTCATCATCTCCATGAAAGTTTGAAATCTGAGTATCTATTGGTAGATGACCCTAAAGAATTATGGGATAATCTCCAAGAAAGGTATGGCCATCAACAAAAGGTCCTTTTACCAAAAGCTCAATATGACTGGATCAATTTACGATTCCAGGATTACAAATCTGTGAGTGACTACAATTCTGCTTTGTTCCAAATAACATCAAAACTAAAGTTATGCGGACAAAAAGTCACTGATGCTGAAATGTTGGAGAAAACTTTGTCCACTATGCATGTTTCAAATGCTCTTTTACAAGAGCAATATAGACAAAAGCATTTTCAAAAGTATTCTGATTTGATATCAGTATTACTATTTGCTGAGACGAATATCGACATTTTGATAAGAAACCACAATATGAGACCCACGGGTTGTAGCCCGGTTAGTTTTGGTCCACCAAATCATGGTTCAAAACATGAATCAAATGCAACTCATAGTGGTGCTCGTGGACATTTCAAACGTGGTCGTGGTATTGGTCGTTATAATGGACCTAGCCGGCGAAACAAACAGAGTAGTAGCTCATTTTACAAAGGCAAGGGTAAGCAAAACCGCCATCAAACAAAGAGCCCGACGAAATCTTCAGAAAAGGCCAAAGCCACTTGCTTTAAGTGTGGCACGTCGGGACATTGGGCAAATAAGTGTCGTACACCTAGACACTTGATTGATTTATATAAATCATCTCTAAAAGGAAAGAATGTGGAAACTAATTACGTCAACGAAAATGATCCACCAATGCCCACATTCAATGTGTCTGATTTCTATATGGACGATAATGAGATGAACACCGACATCATTATGGGTGAAAAATAATAAATAAGTAAATAAAAAGGAATTTGAAATAATTCTGTTATGTAATATATTCTACAATAAAAGTTTGTTTGTATTGTAATTTTTATTTGGTGTGCTTATTTCGATTGTAAATGTTATGTACATTTTAATGAATAAAGCCTTGTTTATATTACAGTATTGAACTAATATTTGTTCATTTTTATCTTTTCGAAGATATGGAGTTAACTAAAATTTCTCCAAGTGGCTCTGAACAATGTCTAATAGACAGTGCCACAACGCACACCATTTTGAGACATAGAGATTATTTTTCTCATATGACATTAGTTGATGCTAATGTCAATACAATCTCAGGTGTTGCTAAACTCATTGAAGGTTCTGGAATAGCCTGTGTGATTCTCCCAAAAGGGACAAAATTAATAATTAAAAATGCTTTATACTCCAGTAAATCACGGAGAAATCTTTTGAGCTTTAAAGATTTGCGTCTAAATGGTTTTCAAATTGAAACCATGTCTGAAAATCAGAAGGAATATTTATGTCTAACGACAAATAGATCTGGCAATAAATACATTTCTGAAAAAATGCCAGCATATTCCTCGGGACTGTATTATACATATATCAGTCCAATTGAGATAAATGTGGTATCTAAAATTTATGACCACAATTCCTTTATCTTGTGGCATGATCGTTTAGGTCATCCAGGCAGCACTATGATGCACAAAATTATTGAAAATTCACGTGGACATTCATTAACTAATGTCAAGATTCCACAATCAAGTGATTTTCCGTGCACTGCCTGTTCTCTTGGCAAATTAATTATCAGGCCATCTTTATACAAAATTGGAGTTGAATCTCCTGCATTTTTAGAAAGAATTCAAGGAGATATTTGTGGGCCAATTACCCCTCCATGTGGACCGTTTCGATATTTTATGGTGCTCATTGATGCATCAACACGTTGGTCACATGTCAGTCTTTTATCGACTAGAAATTTTGCATTTGCAAATCTCCTTGCTCAAATTATTCGTTTGAGATCACAATTTCCGGATTATTCGATAAAGAAAATCCGACTTGATAATGCAGGAGAATTTACATCCCAATCTTTTAATGACTATTGCATGTCAATTGGGATTGATGTGGAACATCCAGTTCCACATGTACATACACAAAATGGTCATGCCGAATCCTTAATTAAGCGATTACAATTAATTGCTAGACCATTATTGATGAAATCCAGATTACCATCATCTGCATGGGGATATGCTATAATGCATGCTGCAAATTTAATTCGGCTTAGGCCAACGGCATATCATAAATTTTCCCCATTACAATTAATATCTGGTAAAGAACCAAATATATCATGTCACACCCCAGACCGCAATCCAAGCGCGTGTACAACCGCCGTATAACTAAGTGACGTCACCCACGAGTCAACCTCACTTAATTACACAAGGCGTTCGGGAAAACAATCCATCCATACTCCGTAGTAAACATACATAACAACATCACATTTAAACCAATGAATAGCGGAAATATTCAACGGTAAGTCATGAGCCACAACCGGCCAACAACATGGGCATGCAAGCCCAAAAAAAGTGTTTATAGTAAAACAAATATCCATGAGCATGTGTTCGGTAGTTTGAAAGAAAATAAGGAGAAGCACGAACCACGTCTTCCTGATATGATACCACCCGTGAGAAGGTGCAAGTAGCAAGCCCTAGCTTCAACCTGAAAATGGTGGGGCCCCCCGAAGGGGTCAGTACAAGTACCGAGCGAGTAGCAGGCTAAATATAGAATAACTAGCGTTTCAAGTATAAGACCCAAACATAGGGTGATACTTAAATAAATAGTCTTTCCCCCAAGTTATGAAATACTTATTGGTATATATATACTTGGAAAATATCCGATCCGTAGATCACCATTTTATTTGGGAAAAATAGTAATAGTCAATATTCTTGACTAAAAACCCCAACCCACCCATATACCTATGAGTGTATAGGACTCCTCCTTGTCCCTATTTGTATATCATAATCTATGAGTTTTAGGATCAAAATCCTTGGATACTCCACCGGTTTATGAGTGTTAAGGACTCATAAGTCCTAGGGTCCTCCACCAAGTTTTGAGTGTTAAGTACTTTTAAGTACTAGGGTCCTCCACCAAGTTTGAGTGTTAAGGACTTTAAGTCCTAGGGTCCTCCACCAAGTTTTGAGTGTTAAGTACTTTTAAGTACTAGGGTCCTCCACCAAGTTTGAGTGTTAAGCACTTTTTAAGTACTAGGGTCCTCCACCAAGTTTTGAGTGTTAAGTACTTTTTAAGTACTAGGGTCCTCCACCAAGTTTGAGTGTTAAGCACTTTTTAAGTACTAGGGTCCTCCACCAAGTTTTGAGTGTTAAGTACTTTTTAAGTACTAGGGTCCTCCACCAAGTTTTGAGTGTTAAGTACTTTTTAAGTACTAGGGTCCTCCACCAAGTTTTCCTATGATCAACCTCCTATCAACCTAGATAGAGTCTATATCATACTTAGTTACTCATAACTAATTCAATACATAAAGCTTATGTATCACAATCCATGCAAAGCCATGCAATTATATAAATGTATAATTAACTAATATCAACCGATATTAATTAATCCATTATCCATCGGTCAACGTTGTCGTTGACCGCCAATTCAAGCCTTGTACCTATCAACTTAATCATCATATAATTAAGTTAATAATACTCATTTGTGCTTCTTTTACACTTCAAGTTAATATGCGTTTAATACAATTCCTCATATCATATTTCATGCATAAACAATTAATTCTTTTCATACAACTTAATAATGTTGGCTAATCACATGTTTAAATATCTTTTAAACATCATTATGAACACATATAACATTTATTTAGGTAATCTCATAATTAACCCAAAAGTTATAAGATATTAAGCCGTCCACTCACCTTGAACTAGCGTTATGAAGTTCTACCCTTCTTGGTTAAACTCCGGTGAAACTCCGGCGACTTTTGGTCAACTCCGGCGACAACTCCGGCGACTTTTCCAACCTTGTGAAATCACTTGAAATACCTCTCACAAGTTCCTAACAAGGTTTTATAATCATAAAACCCATGTTAATACAAATAACCTCAAAAAGGTTATTTTCCGGTGAACCGGTCGTTTTGGCTTCTAAGTCCGTTCTTGGACATAGAATCACTTTCCAACCCATAAATCCATACTTATAACATGTAGAATCCTCTCAAGGATCCTTCACATGATATATATCTCATATGGTAGAAGAAAAATAAAGGAAAAGTTATAATAAGGTCATTACCTTAATTATTTCACACTTTTAGCACTTTAGCTCCTTTTTGGGTGATTCTTCCTTGATGAGCTTTCTTCAACAATGGAGGAAGGGGGATGAGGATTTTTCTTGCTCTTGGTTGCTGTGTCTTGGCCGAGATAGGGAGGGGAGAGAGGGATGGGGATGGACTTTTGTCTCATTGATCTAATGAGTGCAAAAATGGGGGTCCACCTAGGTACTTTTGATGCCATTCCCTTCTTATCAACATCCTCCTCCCATGTTCTCTTCATGCACCAGCCGACCCTCCCTCAATTTTGAGTGGAAAAATCGTGGGTTGGCCCCCACTCATGTGGGAGGTCAACCCTTTTTGTCCCGAAGTGTACAATTGGTCCCGAAAGTTGTATTTTTCGGACTGTTTTAAATATATTTTATTTTATCGGGTCAAATGAAATATATCATGGGCTCTTACTCATTATGACATGTATCATGAATATACATTCCCCAACTTTAATTTATAAGTCTCCGAAATTCAATTCGGGCTGTTATATGTTAAATTGTCGGTACCGGTAATTTGGGCCTCTTTTTCCCAATCGGTCAACTCTGCGCCTTCCCACGACCCAAATAAAATATCCACCACTATATAAATATTATCTTGACCAAGATGAATAAAATATGTGGTCTCGGAAGTGTCGGGCGGCCCCCGCTCCCGGTGTGGGTCCCACGTGCAATTTACTATTCACGCGAAAGAAATAATAAAAATTTACAACCTCGTAAATTCATTAATCCTTTAATAAGGTTCAATACATTATTTACATAACAGTAAATATATTTGGGGACGGTGTTACAAGTTCACCCCCCCTTATTTGGGATTTCGTCCCCGAAATCCAAGTATCTAATCGAAAAGAAATGGGTATTGCTCCCTCATTGAGACCTCGGTCTCCCAAGTTTCTTCTTCGACTCGATCACTCCTCCAAAGGACCTTTACCATAGGAATCTCCTTGTTCCTAAGCTTCTTCACTTGTTGACCAACAATCTTCACTGGTTCCACCGCATATTGCAAGTCCTCACGGATCTCTACCGGTAGTCTCTCAAGAATATGAGATGGGTCTCGTATGTACTTCTTGAGCATTGATACATGAAACACGTCATGTATCTTCTCAAGTTCAGGCGTCAACTTGAGTCGGTAAGCCACGGCCCCGATCCTTTCAAGGATCTCAAACGGACCTATGTATCGGGGGTTAAGCTTCCCCCTCGATACGAATCGGATGATGCCCCTCCAAGGAGAAATCCTTAGGAAGACCTCATCACCGACTTCGAACTCCAACGGTCTCCGCCGTTTATCAGCATAACTCTTCTGTCGGTCCTGAGCGGCCTTCAGTCTATCCCGAATGATCCTCACCTTGGCCTTGGTGATCTCAACCAGCTCTATCCCTTCGAGTTTGGCCTCGCCAACCTCGTCCCAACACAATGGTGTTCTGCATTTCCTCCCATACAATGCTTCATATGGGGTCATGCCGATACTTGCCTGATAACTGTTGTTATAGGCAAACTCCACTAGGGCCAAATGCTTGTCCCAACTCCCCTGGAACTCCAAAGCACATGCCCTAAGCATGTCTTCCAAAACCTGTATCACCCGCTCGGACTGTCCATCCGTCTGTGGGTGAAAAGCTGTGCTAAACTTCAGTTTAGTCCCCAAAGATGCTTGAAACTTTGGCCAAAATCGGGATGTGAATCGTGGATCCCTATCCGAGACAATGGATATGGGGACTCCATGTAATCTCACAATCTCCTCCGTGTATAGCTTGGCTAATCTTTCAAGAGGATAAGTAATGTTGACAGGCAAAAAGTGTGCACTCTTGGTGAGCCTATCAACTACTACCCAAACTGCATCATAGTTGTTCACTGTTCGTGGTAGTCCCACCACGAAGTCCATGGTCACGTGCTCCCACTTCCACTCTGGGATGGTGAGTGGCTGCAAAAGCCCTGCCGGGTGCTGATGTTCTGCCTTAACTTGCTGGCAAGTAAGGCATCGACTCACATACTCGGCGATGTCTCTCTTCATACCCGACCACCAGTAACTTTCCTTCAGGTCCCGGTACATCTTAGTACCTCCTGGATACATAGCATAAGCTGAAGAATGAGCCTCCTCGAGTATAGACTTCTGGAGGTCTTCATTCTTTGGTATGCACACACGATCCTTAAACAATAATAGACCATCGTCACGTACCTGAAAGTTCTCAACAGGCCCCTCAATGATTCGTTCACGAATCTTCTGACACTCCTCGTCAATGGCCTGACATCTACTGATCTCACCCAGCAATGTAGGTCTGACCTCAAACCTAGCAATGAGCGCCCCGCTCGTGGATACCTCCACGTGTGCCCTCAATGCCTGTAGACATGTGAGTAGCGTCCCCGACGTACTCTTCCTGCTCAGTGCGTCGGCCACTACATTGGCCTTTCCGGGATGATAGTCGATGATCAAGTCATAGTCCTTGATCAACTCCATCCATCTCCTCTGCCTCATATTCAACTCTTTCTGAGTGAATACATACTTCAGGCTCTTATGATCAGTATAAATGTGACACGTCTCCCCGTAGAGATAATGCCTCCAAATCTTCAATGCAAACACTACCGCCCCCAACTCTAGATCGTGAGTAGGGTAGTTCACCTCGTGTTTCCTCAATTGCCTAGAAGCATAGGCAATCACCTTACCGTTTTGCATCAGTACACATCCAAGCCCTTGGATGCTAGCGTCGCTATAAATGTCATACCCTATCCCCTGTATGGGTAGGGCAAGGACTGGTGCTTCGGTAAGTCGTTTCTTCAATTCAAGGAACCCCTTCTCACATTTGTCGTCCCATATGAACTTGGCCCCTTTCTTTGTGAGCTTCGTTAATGGGGACGCCAATACGGAGAATTTTTCCACAAATTTACGATAGTATCCCGCTAAGCCAAGGAAACTACGTATCTCCTTCGCATTCCTGGGTCTCTCCCAATCCATGATCGCTTTTATCTTGGCATTATCCACAGCAACACCTGAACCGGATATGACATGACCGAGGAAACCAATCTCTTTGAGCCAAAATTCGCATTTGGAGAACTTGGCGAAGAGTTGCTTTTCCCTTAGCCGATCAAGTACAAGCCCCAAATGGTGTTCGTGCTCTTCCTCGCTCTTGGAGTATATCAAGATGTCGTCAATGAATACTATCACAAATTGGTCTAAGTATTCACTAAACACACGGTTCATCAAGTCCATGAATGCCGCCGGTGCGTTGGTTAAACCAAATGACATCACAAGAAACTCGTAGTGACCGTACCTAGTGCGGAACGCACTTTTTGGTATGTCACTTTCCTTGATCTTCAACTGATGATACCCCGACCTCAAGTCAATCTTCGAGAACACTATTGCCCCTCGTAGTTGATCGAACAAGTCATCAATCCTCGGTAAGGGATACCTGTTCTTGATGGTGACCTTGTTCAACTGTCGGTAGTCGATACACATTCTTAGTGTACCATCTTTCTTCTTCACGAAGAGTACGGGTGCTCCCCACGGTGAATGACTGGGTCTGATGAACCCGTTGTCCAATAGTTCTTGTAGTTGGACCTTCAACTCTTGAAGTTCGGCCGGTGCCATTCGATAAGGAGGAATCGAAATGGGTTTGGTTCCCGGCTCCACTTCGATTACAAATTCAATCTCTCTATCGGGTGGAAGCCCCGGTAGGTCCTTGGGAAAGACGTCCGGGTACTTGCACACGACTCGAACATCCTTGATGTCGACTTCTTTCTTCGTATCATCTACCACATAAGCAAGGTATGCGTGGCATCCCTTCCTCATCATCTTTCGTGCTCTCATCACGGATATGATACAAGCATTAGATTTCCCCCGATCTCCTTCAAAACGTAGCATATTCCCTTGATCATCCTCAAGCTCCAACACCTTGGTGTAGCAATCTACTCGAGCATGGTGCTTCTCAAGCCAATCCATTCCTAGGATTGCATCGAACTCCAACATGCTTAGAGGTACGAAATCACAAGTCAAGGGTTGACCCGTCACTTCCACCTCACATGATGGATAGTAATAATTTCTCTCCACATCGTCTCCTAACGGTGTGGAGACTAGCAACGTTTGCGTCATAGGTGTCAATGGCACGTCAAGGCCCTCGGCGAACGCCTCACTCACAAATGAGCGTTGTGCCCCGGTATCGATGAGGATCCTCGCACACCTACCATTGATCTTTAATGTTCCTACATTTATACACCATGTAAGATACATTTTCTAATGTTTTTACACATCATTAGGATGTTATTAGGTTCATACAAATGTTTGGAATCAAACGGGGGTCCAAACGTAGAAGAACGGGGCGAAAAAATCAACTTTCGGGTGTTGGGGGTCCACGCACGGCGTGCCTGGGTGGCAGGCACGGCCGTGCGTGCAACAAACTCACCCTGCTGGCCACTGCCGGCCAGGCACGATGCCAGGCACGGCGTGCCTGCGGCCGTGCCTGGCCAAAAATTCTTCGGACGCCACTGCCTTCCAGGCACGACGCCAGGCACGGCGTGCCTGCGGCCGTGCCTGGCCCATTTTTTTTTTTCTCTTCGGGTGCCACTGCCTTCCAGGCACGATTCCAAGCACGGCGTGCCTGCGGGCGTGCCTGGCCAGCAGTGGCTGTTTCCAGCCCGATTCGGCCTAACTCACCCGGTTCGACCCCGGGGTGGCCCGCACTCAATCCCAACGACGTATATGATCAAAGTAAGCCTAGAAATACATGGGAATACGCGTATTACCTGCAACGGAGTCCGGGTTTGCTCTCGCATCCGCCTCGGTCATCGCGTAGACTCGTGCTTGGGTTCCGCCTTGGTTTACGGACGCGACATGACTTGTGGATGCGTTGCCTCTTCCCGTACCGCCGTTTGACGGGCCCGCACGGTGTCTTCCCGTCATGGTTCCTCCTCCTGATCCCGGAGCTCCTCCTCCCCCTAATTGTGGGCAATTGGCTTTCATGTGGCCCGTGTTCCCGCATTGATAACACCTCGGGGGTGCGTTGCATTTCCCGAAGTGATTTTTTGAACAATTAGGACACCTAGGGGGTCCCGTCTTTTGAGAGGAGGATGCATGCCACCGAGCATCCTTGTTCTTCTTCGCCGGTGGTGCCGGCGCTTTGAACGTACCACCACCCCCACCGTGGTTATTCTTCCGTGCTTGCTCGGGCGGCCCCGAACCATGCCATTTCCTCTTTTTCGCCTCTTCGGCGTCTCTTTCCTTTCTTTCATTCCATTGGGCCTCCCCAAGAAGGCCCTGCTCCACCACCTTGCTAAAGGTCATGTGGCGCGAGTACGTGGCTCGATCACGGATGTCTAAGAGTAAGGCATCCCAAAAGTGCTCCGTCATGCGGTTCTCATCAACCGCGTACTCCGGCAAGAACCTAGCCAAGGTCCTAAACTCTTGTTCCAGCTGCTTAACCGTGCCGCCATCCTTCTGTTTGAGGTTAGTGTACTCTCTCCGTTTCACGTTCACTTCGTACTCGGAGTAGTATTGAGCATAGAACTCTAGCTCAAAATCCGCCCATGTTATTTCCCCATGGTACTTCCCTTCCACGCTCTCCCACCACGTAGAAGCTATCCCTTCAAGTAGCCGTGAAGCGACAGTCAACTTCACGTCCGGTGTGATTTGCATGTCTCTTGATGCATCCTTCACCTTCTTAATCCAATCGGCGGCAACGGTAATGTCACCGGTGCCGTCAAAGGACCTACACCCCAAGGCCCTAGCCTCCTTGAGGTACTTGGAAATTCTCACAACAAAACCCCCTTCACGCCCACCTTGTGACGCCGCTGGGGTGGCCACGGAAGCTCCCCGGCTTCCTTGACCCGAATTGAACCTCCACGAGAGCCACGCCTCGCTTGGCGCCTAAGGTCTCTCCTCAGTTTTTCTTTTTGATACCACTCCAGCAATTCGCCCATTTGGGTGAACTTGGCATCACTCTCTTCATCATCATCATCAGTGTATGTGTCACCCCCATCATACGGGGTCTCTTCATGCTCCGTCTCTGGAACGTAGGTTGAGTCATAGTCTTCGGTGTTGGTTTCATACACCGAGCTCACATGGCCATCACTCACAGTTTGAGCTTGATGACCTCCACGGCTTCCACGGCCTCCACGGCCTCCTCTCGAACCCCGAGATGCAGCCCGGCTTCCCCTTTGGGATGCTACCGGCGCGTGCCCCCTCGGATTGTTCCTGGTCCCCATTCGCCTGCCCTCCATTTCTGAAAGAAATATGGATGAGTCATTAGACTCCTATAAATGTCAATTGACGGAAGAACGTTACAGACACGTATTGGCCCAAGTCACCACCATACCAATTGTTAAGGGTACCGTCTTAACAATTAGAGGCCTTGCAACTTAAGCACCAATAGTCCTATAAACGTCAAAATACAATGCTCAAGGTTTTCGGCAAGATCTCTTTTGCAAAATCTTTTGTGAGAGGTTGATTATATAGTTTAGAACTGAGATGGCTTTGATACCACTTAATTGTCACGCCCCAGACCGCAATCCAAGCGCGTGTACAACCGTCGTATAACTAAGTGACGTCACCCACGAGTCAACCTCACTTAATTACACAAGGCGTTCGGGAAAACAATCCATCCATACTCCGTAGTAAACATACATAACAACATCACATTTAAACCAATGAATAGCGGAAATATTCAACGGTAAGTCATGAGCCACAACCGGCCAACAACATGGGCATGCAAGCCCAAAAAAAGTGTTTATAGTAAAACAAATATCCATGAGCATGTGTTCGGTAGTTTGAAAGAAAATAAGGAGAAGCACGAACCACGTCTTCCCGATATGATACCACCCGTGAGAAGGTGCAAGTAGCAAGCCCTAGCTTCAACCTGAAAATGGTGGGGCCCCCCGAAGGGGTCAGTACAAGTACCGAGCGAGTAGCAGGCTAAATATAGAATAACTAGCGTTTCAAGTATAAGACCCAAACATAGGATGATACTTAAATAAATAGTCTTTCCCCCAAGTTATGAAATACTTATTGGTATATATATACTTGGAAAATATCCGATCCGTAGATCACCATTTTATTTGGGAAAAATAGTAATAGTCAATATTCTTGACTAAAAACCCCAACCCACCCATATACCTATGAGTGTATAGGACTCCTCCTTGTCCCTATTTGTATATCATAATCTATGAGTTTTAGGATCAAAATCCTTGGATACTCCACCGGTTTATGAGTGTTAAGGACTCATAAGTCCTAGGGTCCTCCACCAAGTTTTGAGTGTTAAGTACTTTTAAGTACTAGGGTCCTCCACCAAGTTTGAGTGTTAAGGACTTTAAGTCCTAGGGTCCTCCACCAAGTTTTGAGTGTTAAGTACTTTTAAGTACTAGGGTCCTCCACCAAGTTTGAGTGTTAAGCACTTTTTAAGTACTAGGGTTCTCCACCAAGTTTTGAGTGTTAAGTACTTTTTAAGTACTAGGGTCCTCCACCAAGTTTGAGTGTTAAACACTTTTTAAGTACTAGGGTCCTCCACCAAGTTTTGAGTGTTAAGTACTTTTTAAGTACTAGGGTCCTCCACCAAGTTTTGAGTGTTAAGTACTTTTTAAGTACTAGGGTCCTCCACCAAGTTTTCCTATGATCAACCTCCTATCAACCTAGATAGAGTCTATATCTGTGACACCGCACCCGGATGTACTTGAATTTGAAATTCGACATGTAATTTAATTTTCCTAGAGAATATAATTCGTGTAATTGATCGGCATATTTAATTAATGCACGATTAATTAAATTATATATCGGGTCCATTATATGAGAATGGGCTACCAAATATTTAGTTGGGTTATCATAATAATTATAGTAGCCCAATAAAATGCCAACCGAAGTTGATAAAAATAGTTGGACAACCCGAGCGCTATTTTGACCCGGCCGGCCAGAAATAGCAGGAATAATTGGGAGGGACTTCCTACACCCACTTGGGGTATCCTACACCCTAATTTGACTCAAATAATGAGGGAGGAGGGGCCACACATTTTGACTTGTGCGTGCAAAAGAAGGAGGGGAGCATCATGGAGACAAAGTCCACACACCCCATGTTGGACTTGTCTTGGGAGTGATTTGGTTGAGGATAGATATCCTCTCCTCTCATTTTGAGCCATACGAACAAAGAGGAGGGAGAGCTCAGGGGAGAAACTCTCACAAAGCTCCAGCTTGAAGGAAGCACCAACAAAGAAAATCCAAGAAGAGAAGAGTGGTGTTTGAGGTAAGAACTCAACAATCAAGCTTCTAACTAGTATATTATTGTATGATTTTTAAGAAATCATATGATGGATTAAACATGAGTTTATACACGTTTAAAAGTGTATAATATTGATATAAAGTGGTGGTAATTAACTTAGAAGAGTGGGTGAATCGATAGGAGTCGAAACCGCCGGAAACCGCCACTTTAAGGGAGCTGTTCGTAGCTGCAGACCACGAAAGCCGCCCACCTTTCACGAAAGCCGCCCGGCTTTCGTCTGCTGTCCAGATTTTTCACTTTCAATCGGCCTAGAACGGGGATTGATCGAGGGGCTTAACAAAGGCAACTATTGTAGCACATCACAAGGTGAGGATGGCTGACTATATTGCTTATAATCTTTGGGTTAATTTCATAAGATTACCTAAAGTAATTAAATGTGATTTTCATGGATTATTAATGCTTAATAATGCCTAAATGAAAATATCATTGTTGTGAATGGAAGATGCATAACATACAAATTTATGAGAAATTGTGTATGATGATGCATAATAAACGTGAAGGTATAATGATTGTATAAACCATGAATTTTTGTGATAAAATATACTTTTACTTCATGTATAGAAATCATGAATGGATAAAAGTGATATTTTTATATTGAGATTAAATCGTATACGGATTAGAAAATCCATAGGAATGAGCCTTATAACTATGAGTTAAGGAGCTTGGCTGTTTAAAGATTTATGGATTAGTATTTAATTTACTAATCGGGAATGTTGTATAAAAAGTGATAGAACAAATCCTAAGGACTTGGATTGTGAAGGATGCACCTTAAGTAGTCTTATGAGATGCCTTAAGGTAGGAATGGGTAACCACCAAGTTACATTAGGAGTAGGCCTCATTGGCTACTCAAGATTGAGGAACTCTAGGCATAGAATTTGCTAGTGAGTTAGTATCGTGACTAGAGGAAGCCTCTAGCGCGATTAAGAATGACTGGAGGAAGCCTCCAGCATTCGCGTAGGACGACTAGAGGAAGCCTCTAGCGTAATGTAGGATGACTAGAGGAAGCCTCTAGCATAAGGAAATGTGACTGGAGGAAGCCTCTAGCACAAAGTATGTAAGGTGATTAGAGGAAGCCTCTAACACCGAATTTAGTGACTAGAGTAAGCCTCTAGCACGGCAAAACATGACTAGAGGAAGCCTCTGGCATGGTGAATTAATATAGATGGGCGTGGCTTGAAGTCACGGGGAAAGGGTTGAACGTTTTCAAAGTAAAACATGGGTCTTCGGGCCGACTACTTGACTTTATATATAAAGTAAGTATATTTTCAAAGAGGGTAACCACGGGTTATGACCTATATTATATTATCACCCTATGTGAGGGTCTTGGAAATTGAAACTTTGATTATACTTAGTATAGTTGTCATTGTACTTGTCAAATGCTTCCAAGTACTGACCTCCCCTTCGCGGGGGAGGCCACCTCACAGTTTCAGGTAGGAGTTGAGCTCGCTACAAATACTCGTTGCTTCGAGGGAGGATCCAGGAGAGAAGACGTGGTTCGTGCTTCCTCCGTTTCTGTTTTTTTAAACAATTACATTAATGCTCATGGATATTATTTTTGAATAATTATTTGAGGGCTTGTATGCCCATGTTCGCCAAAGTGTGGCATAAACACTTTATTAAATGTTTCCGCTGCTTTAATTAATTATTTTACATTATGATTGTTTATGGATGTACTATTGTGAATGGTATTCATGACGCCTTGTATAGTATGGATGAGTTGGACTGCGGTTGACTATTCGTACTGTACGGCGGGTTGTTGACGTGTCCGGGTAGGTCCGGGGCGTGACAATATCATACTTAGTTACTCATAACTAATTCAATACATAAAGCTTATGTATCACAATCCATGCAAAGCCATGCAATTATATAAATGTATAATTAACTAATATCAACCGATATTAATTAATCCATTATCCATCGGTCAACGTTGTCGTTGACCGCCAATTCAAGCCTTGTACCTATCAACTTAATCATCATATAATTAAGTTAATAATACTCATTTGTGCTTCTTTTACACTTCAAGTTAATATGCGTTTAATACAATTCCTCATATCATATTTCATGCATAAACAATTAATTCTTTTCATACAACTTAATAATGTTGGCTAATCACATGTTTAAATATCTTTTAAACATCATTATGAACACATATAACATTTATTTAGGTAATCTCATAATTAACCCAAAAGTTATAAGATATTAAGCCGTCCACTCACCTTGAACTAGCGTTATGAAGTTCTACCCTTCTTGGTTGAACTCCGGTGAAACTCCGGCGACTTTTGGTCAACTCCGGCGACAACTCCGGCGACTTTTCCAACCTTGTGAAATCACTTGAAATACCTCTCACAAGTTCCTAACAAGGTTTTATAATCATAAAACCCATGTTAATACAAATAACCTCAAAAAGGTTGTTTTCCGGTGAACCGGTCGTTTTGGCTTCTAAGTCCGTTCTTGGACATAGAATCACTTTCCAACCCATAAATCCATACTTATAACATGTAGAATCCTCTCAAGGATCCTTCACATGATATATATCTCATATGGTAGAAGAAAAATAAAGGAAAAGTTATAATAAGGTCATTACCTTAATTATTTCACACTTTTAGCACTTTAGCTCCTTTTTGGGTGATTCTTCCTTGATGAGCTTTCTTCAACAATGGAGGAAGGGGGATGAGGATTTTTCTTGCTCTTGGTTGCTGTGTCTTGGCCGAGATAGGGAGGGGAGAGAGGGATGGGGATGGACTTTTGTCTCATTGATCTAATGAGTGCAAAAATGGGGGTCCACCTAGGTACTTTTGATGCCATTCCCTTCTTATCAACATCCTCCTCCCATGTTCTCTTCATGCACCAGCCGACCCTCCCTCAATTTTGAGTGGAAAAATCGTGGGTTGGCCCCCACTCATGTGGGAGGTCAACCCTTTTTGTCCCGAAGTGTACAATTGGTCCCGAAAGTTGTATTTTTCGGACTGTTTTAAATATATTTTATTTTATCGGGTCAAATGAAATATATCATGGGCTCTTACTCATTATGACATGTATCATGAATATACATTCCCCAACTTTAATTTATAAGTCTCCGAAATTCAATTCGGGCTGTTATCTGTTAAATTGTCGGTACCGGTAATTTGGGCCTCTTTTTCCCAATCGGTCAACTCTGCGCCTTCCCACGACCCAAATAAAATATCCACCACTATATAAATATTATCTTGACCAAGATGAATAAAATATGTGGTCTCGGAAGTGTCGGGCGGCCCCCGCTCCCGGTGTGGGTCCCACGTGCAATTTACTATTCACGCGAAAGAAATAATAAAAATTTACAACCTCGTAAATTCATTAATCCTTTAATAAGGTTCAATACATTATTTACATAACAGTAAATATATTTGGGGACGGTGTTACATATCACACCTAAAAATATTTGGTTGTTCTGTGTATGTACCAATTGCTCCACCTTATCGTACTAAAATGGGTCCTCAAAGAAGGCTGGGAATTTATGTTGGTTTTAAATCACCCTCAATTATTAATTATCTAGAACCTATGACTGGTGACTTATTCACCGCGCGGTTTGATGACTGTCATTTTGATGAGACAGTATTCCCAGCCTTAGGGGGAGATATTAAAGAAATGGACCCATGTACGAAAGATATTACTTGGAATGCAACAAATTTATCTTTTCTTGATTCTCGCACAAATGCTTGTGAACAAGAAATTCAAAAGATTATTCATTTACAAAATGTTGCAAACCAATTGCCTGATGCTTTCACAGACTCAAAGAAAGTGACAAAGTCACATGTTCCAGCTATGAATGCTCCTTCTCGAATAGAAATTCCTGCAGAGATTAGCGAAAGAACACTTGCTAATGAATCTATGATACGTAAAAAACGTGGTAGACCACTTGGTTCAAGAGATTTGAAACCAAGAAAATTTAAACAGCAAGTTGTAGTTTGTGATGCCAAAGAAGTTCAACCTTCTCAAGAAGAAAATGAACATTTTGAAAATATCGGCCTTGAAGATAACATCAATAATAATGATATCTCAAAAGAGGATCCAATCACCTTTGAAGAGGTAAATATTCCAGATAAAGATAGAAACGTCGATAATTTTGAAATTTCAATTAATTACGTTTCTAATGGAATACAATGGAATAGAAATGATATTGATGTTAATGATATATTTTCATATGCCATCGCCACAGATATAATGAATGAACACGATGACAATGAGCCTAAATCTATTGACGAATGTCGTCGTAGAAATGATTGGCCAAAATGGAATGAAGCATTTCAGGTAGAATTAAAATCGCTAGAAAAGCGTAATGTTTTTGGACCAATTGTCCATACGCCAAAAGGCGTAAAACCTGTCGGTTTTAAATGGGTTTTTGTGCGTAAACGTAACGAGAAAAATGAAATCGTTAGATACAAAGCCCGACTTGTTGCCCAAGGTTTTTCTCAAATGCCAGGAATCGATTATGATGAGACGTATTCTCCAGTAGTTGATGCTACAACTTTAAGATTTTTAATTGGCATGTCTTTTTTTGAAAGGATGCAAATGCGCCTCATGGATGTGGTGACCGCATATTTATACGGTTCACTCGATACAGACATATATATGAGAATTCCTGGAGGCTTTAAAATACCTGATGCTTATAGCTCGAAATCTCGAGATTTATTTTCCATAAAATTGCAAAAGTCATTATATGGATTAAAACAATCTGGACGCATGTGGTATAACCGTCTCAGTGAATATTTGATTAAAGAAGGGTATAAAAATGATCCTATTAGTCCATGTGTTTTCATTCAGCGATCCGAATCGGGATTCGCCATAATTGCAGTATATGTTGATGATTTGAATATAATCGGAACTCCTAATGAAATTGAAAATACTGCAAAATATCTCATGAAAGAATTTGAAATGAAAGACCTTGGGAGAACAAAATTTTGTCTCGGCATTCAAATTGAACATTTGAGAAATGGTATTTTCATCCACCAATCAAATTATACCGAGAAACTTTTGAAGCGATTTTACATGGATAAAGCACATCCACTCAATTCTCCAATGGTGGTTCGATCTCTCAATGTGCATGATGATCCTTTCCGACCTTGTGAAGATGATGAAGAAATCCTTGGTCCCAAAATACCATATTTGAGTGCTATTGGAGCATTAATGTATTTGGCTAATAATACTCGACCAGATATTGCTTTTTCTGTAAATTTATTAGCCAGGTACAGTTCTTCCCCAACAAGAAGGCATTGGAATGGTGTCAAACATATATTCCGATATCTCAATGGTACAATCGATCTTGGATTGTATTTCAAGAATGGTGCAAATGCCACTTTAATTGGCTACGCGGATGCAGGATACTTGTCTGATCCACAAAAGGCAAAATCACAAACAGGATATTTATTCACCTATGGTGATACCGCTATATCATGGAGATCAATGAAACAAACATTAACTTCAACATCATCAAATCATGCAGAATTAATTGCTCTTTATGAAGCAGGTCGTGAGTGTGTCTGGTTGAGATCAATGATCCAGCACATACAAAATGAATGCGGTATAAAATCTTTTACTTCTAATCCTACTGTGATTTATGAAGATAATACAGCATGTATAGCTCAGATCAAAGGAGGTTACATCAAAGGGGACAGAACAAAGCATATAGCACCAAAACTTTTCTCCACACATGATCTTGAGAAAGACGGAACGGTTGATGTCAAACAAATCAAGTCATGCGACAACCCTGCTGATTTGTTCACAAAGTCATTGGCACCGAAGAAATTTGAAGAACTGGTCCATAAAATTGGAATGTATCGTCTTCGAGATATATGTTGAATTGAGGGGAGTAATATAGGGAATTCGCCGTAGCAGCGCAGCTGTAGCCCAGAGGTAGAAACGACCGCCGTCTTCCGTCTAGGCAACTGGGATTCCGCCCTGTCCGCCATTACCGCCTTTCTCCGTCTCTCCGCCTCTCCGCCATCTGCGCGCAAATTGCATTTTTAGGACAGATGTCTCTGCTTGAAGTAATCACCAAAGCATCAGTCGAGAAAAACCGACCTGAAGCTGCTCTTAAGTACCCAATCATCTTGAACCCTGAACCTGTTATCTTTGAACTGAAACCCCAAGATCTTGATGCAAAGGATGACTTACCAGTTGAACGAGCTACTGGTTGGAAAGTCTCCGAACGTGACACTGAAATCATTGAGCTAGGGCAAAGTTTCTTCAAAAAACTGAAAAGGAAGCTTAAAAACCCTAACACTTTCAACCAAGATGAGTTTTTGAAGATCCTAGGTTCATATCTTGTGAGCATTGCAAGGAAATTAGGCACTGCAGATAATAATGCTGAGTCTGATAAAGGTTATGTTGGTAAATTAGTTGGAAAGTCGGGACTATTCATGGGTAGAGATGTGAAGGGACTTGTTTTGGAGGCCTGTGTTTATCTTGAGTGCTGGGAGGTGTTAGAGAGTCTGATGGTCAATGGGCTTGTTGAGCATTCACACTTTTCAAGCTTAATTAGTAATTTGATTGAAAAGAACGGAGCAAATTTGATTGTTTTGTGCGTAAAGCATCTCTCCGATCTCCAAGCTAATGATGTCATGTGCATTTTAAAGTATTTTCTATCACTACCTAAAGATGGGCACGATAGTATTCTAAGTGTCAGGAAAGAATGGGAAAGCCAAGCATTGTTGGCCATACAACGATTGAAGGAGTGTGATGGCCAATCACTGTTGGCAATTGAGAAGGTGAAGGATAAACATCTTAGGAAAAGGTTGACATTGGTGAGAGATGCTTCTTTATTATTAATGATAGCTTATGATGGGTGCTTGTATTAGCAACTTAGATGGTTCAGAAATGATGCGTTTTGTTAGGTACTTCGGAAAGTGGCTGAAGAAGTATGATAGTTTCCCTGATGTGTGTCTTTGTCCTGAGGCATCCTCTGTGTTGGGTTTGACAGCTTGTGATTGGGTTCCAAGACTTGAAGATATCATTATATGCTTAGGATTGTTACTAGATGAGCATTTTTCTACTCTGGTCCTTCTCCATTGTAATTAACACACTAAGATTACACCATTATCACACTTCTAATAACATCTTTCTCACTAAGTATTCAGACTATACTTTCTCTCCCTGATCTTCTGCTTATTTGCTTTCATATAATAACATTTCATTATTTCTTCAAGTCTCAAAATAAAATCAAAATATTTCATTAATATTAAGTGAGGAAACTAAGGAAGTCAGGTGGAGGGATAGTAGCAACAATAGGGACTAGGTAGTAATATAAATCTGTGTTGTAAGACCCGAACCGGACCGGACGGGTCGGCCCGGAACCCGCCCACCCGGCTCCAAATCCGGTCCGGTTGACCTTGAACCCGCTAAAGTGTTAAAACCCGGAAAAAATCAGTGACTCGGAACCCGCCCACCCGGCTCCAAATCCGGTCCGGTTGACCTTGAACCCGCTAAAGTGTTAAAACCCGGAAAAAATCAGTGACTCGGACCAAACCGGGACGGATCCGGAACCTCTGAAACTCGGAAATTAGCAAAATTCCAGACTTTGGCAAGACTTGCTGCAAACGAGGTTCGATCTCACGACCTCCGGGATGAAATAGAGCCTCTCAACCGGTCTACAACTGTAACGTGTTGTTAACTTTTGCAACTTTGGTAGTAATATTACCAGTAAAACGTACCATTATCCTTCCCACTTGAGCATTAATCAATTAGTTAACTTTCTTTGACCGATTAATTGTAAACTAAACCATTAGTAATAACAATAATTATGCAAACGCAACATTATACTTCTAGTTATGGACATAACTTATGGTCTACTTATGTCATATTACAATAATATAAGTGAATATATATTTTCTATTATATTTATAAGATTTTATAATTGATGCCATGCTATATTTATTGTCCAATTTTGTTAAAAGACTTAAAATCAACTCTAAAATAATGATTTTTTAATTGTATTATATTGTATTACCATTATTAAATTATGAAGGATTAAGATTTTTCTATTTATGAATTTAAACTTATATATGTGTATGAATATATGTGTTGACTGGGTTTTCCCGGCGTTGACCGGGTTGACCCGCCGGGTCCGGGTTGACCCGTGACCCAGTCGCTCGGCCGGGTCGCTCACCGGTCCGGTTTTTACAACATAGATATAAATGATAGCAATAGTCATACCACAATAGTAACAATGATATTGTAAACAATGCAACTTCACTGACTCACCGTCTTCCCCTCATCTTTCTCATGCTTGCTTGACCTTTTTTGACATGCATGCATGGAGAGGCTTTGTATCAATCATCACTTCACAAATATCAATATCTCCATCAAAACTTGCAACTAAGTCTCACTTTATTTTTAAAAGAAAAAGGAAGTTAATTGTCCAACATTGTTTTTTTAATGGTATTGAAACAGTGACAGCCAGTTCAGCAGCTAGGGCTCCATTAATGAGTATAGTGGGAACATGATTAATTTGGGTGTGAGTTTTGATCACCACCATCTACATAAACAACATCGTCATCATGAACATCATCATCAACGAAGCCAATCCCAAGCAAGTGAAAGTGGAGATTAAAATGCCACTACCTCCCAGTAACTTCAACAAGGTTTTATTTAAACTTATGTTCACCCAAACCCTATTTTTGTTTGATGTAAAAGTATAACTAATTAATTACCTATCATCTTATTCTGTCATTCCTGATCCAAATATATAGTGAATGTGTTTGAAGAATTGAGATTTTCTCCTAAACTCAAATACATATTCATTTAAACCAGGAACTACAGAGGCACTAGATCGATATAAATCGTGGAAGAAGAACCACTCATGTACTCTGTATGTGTCTAATTGAAATAAAGAGTTTTAAATTCTCCAATTAAAATAAAAAAGAATACTTGAAACTCTTAATTATAAGGATTGTTAAAATATGCTTTAATTCTTCTAAATTCTTATAACCCTTTGATATGCATTATCCTTTAATTTATTTTCTTTTAGTATATTAATGCATTGTATTTTTTGAAAACTATCCTATATGAGTATTATTTTACAAATAATAGGATATATGTTTTTATTACATTTATCTCATTTGCTCATCTTTGCTTTTAGATTGAAGTGGTGTCCTAGAAGCCAAAAAATAAAGTTTTTATGCTTATTTTACCGATAGCATTGTTTTTTCTTTAATCCAAACCTTTTTTAAAGATTCAAAGAAATCTTTGTCAAGCAGGAAAAAAATCTATTTTTCAGTATGCTTACATTGTATAAGTTCAAAACAAAATGAATATTCCTAACCGGAGTTCTGATAAATGAATAAGGTAGAGATTTTTTCCGTTATGTTTATTCTTTATAAGTTAAACTCCTAGGAGTCCAAAGGAAATAATGAGATTAACCCTCAATACACAATTTTTACGTCAAGAGCGGTTTACCCACACATGGCACTGCCATGAAAAGTGCAAGTTTGACTGCAAAAACAATCCAGAACAAGTGTTGCTATTGCATGCTATGGTATGAGTCTCCTCACCATATAGATTTCTTATAAATTTCATTATGAATATGTATTCGTAATACCGTTATACTGAAAAGTTGTGCCTAAATGTTTCACTTCTTATAGCTTAAACTCTTATCCCTTAGTGTTCATGATAAATCTCTTCTTAATATATGTACAAAAAATCTGTCTACTCTTCATGCTACTGATCTTTTAAGAATAAGGAATTATTAGGTATTAAGAATACCACTTCTGAGTAATGATGTGATACCACTTTTTCAAAATTGAAGTTTCCTAATAGATATACCAATGCTTTTGAACAGGCTTTAGTTAGAACTATAACTTGAAAGGATCTGGATGTTGAGTTGTTGCCTGCATACCATAGGTCGTCTTGGCTGCATCACTTCTATAGGTGACCATGTGAGCAAAAAGGCAACATGATTGATGGGTTTTATGATAATAGACAGTTCAAGACTGAGGTTTGTAAGTACTATTAGGCACAAGACGTACAATTTCTATACATGAGGGAAAATGAATTGATGTTAGGAACAAGCTTGAAGAGATAGACCGAAAACTAATGAACTTGCAGGCCTGCGGCAGAAGAGTGATGTTAACTGTTGGGATTGGAAAATTCTACTATTCAATATCAAGAACAGAATTACAATAGGAGAGCAAACTCTCACACTCAACTATTACAAAAAACCAATCCTCACCAATACACTTCTACTCCAAGTGTATTTCACTCTTCACACACTTTTCTCACTTTCTAAAACTGATACTAATGAACAATATGGAGCACTCTATTTATAGGGCTGGTTTGGAGACAAGAGGTAATGCTTCCATATTCTCCATATATTCTCCCATACCTATTTGTTGGAGAGCTCCTTCCATGAAGGTGTGAGATGCCTCTTGGCAACTTCCAAGAAAGAGGGTGGAAACTCCCTACAAATCTCCCCCTCCACCTTTTTCTTTGTTTCTCTCATTCCTGCGATGCTCGCTGGCTCCCCCTCGCTAGCAACAAGTATCCAATCAGATGTGGAATACTTTCTCTGTGGAACTATGCCTCGCATAGAACGTCGAACATGAATACCTTCAGCTTCGTCTTCAGATGAAGGCTCCCCCTGCTGAAGAATATCATCACTATGAGTATCATCATCACCTACTGAACCATCACTCTCTTGTTCAATAGTATCATGCATCTCCTCGTCGCTGAGAGAAATGTTTGATGATACAGGCACTTCGTCTTCTAGAGTAAGTTGTTGGCGGATTATTGGAGCACACCCATGAAACTCGTTTTCATGAAATACAACATCTTTGCTTCGTACAACTTTCTTCACATCGGGATCCCACAACCGGTATCCGAATTCTTCATCTCCATAGCCGATGAAGATGCATGGATTTGACTTAAGATCAAGCTTCTGTCTCAACTCCTTAGACGCATGTGCAAATGCCTTGCACCCGAACACTTTTAAGTGAGAGTAAGAAACATCTCTTCCTGACCATTTCTTCTCTGGTACTTCAAAGTTTAAAGGAACAGAAGGTGACCTGTTTATAAGATAACAAGCTGTCAGCACAGCTTCACCCCAAAATGGCTTAGGCCGTTTAGCCATGCTCAACATGCAACGAACTTTCTCCATAATGGTCTGATTCATTCTTTCGGCTACACCATTGTGTTGTGGAGTTCGTGGAACCGTCTTCTCATGTTTGATTCCTTACGCGGCGCAATATGCTGAGAACTCCCGAGAAGTGTACTCTCCTCCATTGTCTGAACGTAGACACTTCAGCTTCTTCCCTGTTTCTCTTTCTACCATGACATGAAATAATTTGAAGCGATCAAACACTTGATCCTTACTCTTCAAATAATAAGCCCATACCTTTCGTGATGCATCATCAATGAATGTCACGAAATATCTGCTTCCTCCAAGTGACTCCTCTTCAATGGGTCCACATACATCAGAGTGGACAAGACTGAGTAACTCTGTATGGTTCTTCCTGGTAGAACCGAAGGAAACCCTGTGTTGTTTCCCGAATAGACAGTGCTCGCATGGATATAGGGCAACACCTTTGCCCATGGAAATGACTTCCTTCTTTGCAAGAGTTGTCAGTCCCTTCACACTCAAGTGGCCTAGCCTCCGGTGCCATAAGTTTGGTGATGTCTCTTCTTCAACAGCATTGAGACTCGGATGACACAACTCCGCATGAGTTTTATACAGAGTACCACAAATATGGCCTCTTGCAACAACCAAGGAACCTTTAGATAACTTCCACATACCTTCTTTGAATCGGTTAAGATATCCTTGCTGATCCAGAGCTGTACCGGAGATGAGATTCAATCTAAGATCCGGAACATGTCAAACATCTTTCAACACAAGTGCGCATCCGACATTGGTTGTTATGTGCACATCATGACCAATGCCAACAATCTTCGAGAAACTTGTGTTTCCCATCTTCACAACTCCAAAGTCTCCTGACTTATAAGATGTGAATAAGTTCTGGTGTGGAGTGGCGTGAAATGATGCGGCTGTATCAATCACCCACTCAACATCATGAGTACCTACGTGTAGACATTCTTGTTCACCATGTGCAACAAGACACACGTCTGATAACAAACTAACCATGGTCTCACCATCTTCTTGGCTAGTATTTTGACTCGTCTGTGGCTGCTCTCGTAGAAACTTTATACAATCTGTTTTTCTGTGCCCATAATTACCACAGTAGTTGCAATATCCTTCAAACCAAGTATTGTTTTCACAGGACATACCTCGTTCTTATGATCGGCCGCGAACTTGAGAATTTCCCCTATTTTGACTTTGACCTCTACCTCGACCTCGACTTCTTCCTCTGTTTCTGCCTCCCTCTCGCCTATTGGTTTCTGACACGAAGGCATATGATTGTTCAGTCCCGGCTTCTTTTCTTCGAGCTTCTTCGTTCATAAGGGCATTTGTGACCATCTGCATAGTCACCTTGCCATTGGGAGCAGAATTGCTGAGAGTGACAACAAGAGTCTCCGAGCTGTCAGGTAGAGAGCTCAAGAGTAGTATCGCCTGCTCTTCATCTTTGACAACCCATCCGGTGGTGCTCAACTGATTCACAAGATCCTGGAATTGACTGGTGTGTTCTGACACCGAAATACC